CAGTTTGGTACAAATGTGTTTTGTTTTATATTAACATAGCCCTTATTAACATAACTGCATAGTCGTTCGTTCTCGTTGAATTGTGCATGTTCACTAATACAACGATACTGTTTACAACTACATATTCAGTGCATAATATTCAAATTGACTTATTGAAAAGAGATGTAAGAGTGTTATTATTTAGTTTTGACTTATCCACCGTTTAATGGCCCCATGCAGATAGTAAGAAACTGAAAACTATTCAAATAAATAAACATCCAAACTATTAAAACACAAGCTGGAGCTTACCTCAGTTTGTAATCTGACAACAGTAAATATTTTAAAAACTTTAGTTCGTCAATGACTTAGAGTTCAATTGACCCGAGTATATTTAGCTATCATCCGTTAGCCAAAAATGTCAAAAATAATGCAGTTTGACACTTCCGAGGAGGATATATCTGTTTTTACATTCTATATTTTCTATTTATATGTTTTCATTCAAAATAGACCTATTTTACATTCTATTTATATATTCATATGCAAGGATATATCTATTTTTACAAGTATTCACTCCTTACTCTGTCGGATATATGTGTCTCGTCTGTATATTAACAATATCGATCAGTAACGTTCTTTCCGCGCGATGGCCGCCATATTAACCAATTTCCCTAAGTAATATGAGTAACCTGCAAACCTGCAAATAATAGAAAAATGCCTTAAGACACGTAATAGACTGAATAGTCAGTATAATGTCTATATATTCTGTGCTATAGATCTAAAAGTATATAAAGTACTGTCCAGAAATAACCTAACAAAAACTGCTGTTAACCTAGGTCAAACCTCCGTCTGATCGCGGTTGAACCGAGGTCATACCGACGTCAGTGGCGAAGCAAGCAACGATAATTGCGGGGGGGGGGGCATATTAATGCATATATTCATACCATATTCATTCATATATTCACTCAAAATTAATTTTTAGGATAATTTTTTTGTCTTTCGAGAAGGCATTACTTTTGCCAAGTAATGCAAGGCGAGTGGCTTGGATACATCCAAAAGTTTATCTGGACGTTCTCGTACATTATAAGTTTTTTTAATATAAGGATATTTATGTTGTCGTATTGGATTATCGTCTAGAAACAATAGCTTATAAACGAAAACAGTCAGGCATAAGACAAATATACGAATATGCACCCCTCCCCCAATTAAACTTCTAGCGACGGCTCTGTGGATGATACATAGTATTACAGTATAAAAATTAATGCTAAGTTTCGCAAACTTTGCTGGAGGATGGTTGTGAAAAGATCATACAAACTGTTTCCATTTTACTTTTTTATGCTCCAAAGTTCCTCTAGACATATTTTGTTCGCTGTACTTCCAAATTATTGATCTGAGCTATAGTTTAAATCCAAGAAAAGGTGAAAGCGTGCGAGATTTCAGTGATTTTAGATGAAGTAGCCTTGTTAACTACTACCTAGGATTATGCTCCAATTAGTATAGCTTACATTGATTGGATTTTAAAATCAAAATAGCTTGCAGTATGCATAAGACAGTAGCTGTAAAAAAATTCGGTTATTCACTCAAATATACACTGTAATTTTTATCAACCCCTTTAATTATTCAATATAAACTGAACAGGTTCCATTTTATAACGGCTTAATTAGACTATTCCTCTCTTATTTTCCACGTTAATATGGGCTGAAAAAAAAGGTTTAATAATTGCGTTAAATATTATAAAAAGAGCTTATTAAACATAACTCGGACGTTTTTACTGTTAAATTAAAAAATTAGTCCTTGATCAGGAAATCAAGGAAGAATCACTTTCTCCCATCATTTTTACTCTTTTCTTTGTGATATCGTTTTCCGTGTTAGCATGAAATTGTCAGGTTTAATTTTTCTCTTGAAATAGTTGTCACCTAGTGTAAAAATTGGTAATCAACATAGCACAAAAAACGATACTTAACAACAGCAAGTTTGCCAAGGATGCGAACAAAAATACTCAGGACATTCATAGTAGTTGTCATGACACTCAATTTCTAAACAAATGCCATCCACGGGGCAATCTTCTGAAAGATGAAAACAGAGAAAGTGTTTGAGAGTTAGAGAGTAAGAGATCATGAGCGATCGAAAATTCTTTGTATGGACGGGAAACCTGAAAAGTTCTGCCCGACGGATTTCCATTGTGAGTGCTATTGCACTTACAAAAGAAACCCGCCGGGCAGAACTGAATATATGAATAAATACCCCCAACCATCTATAATTGTTCTAGTTACGGCCCAGACCATAAGTGTAAAGTTTACCTCAGTTTGTAGTCTGACAGCAGGAAAGATTTCAAAAACTCCGCAGAGAAACTTCAGTTCTTCAATTGACTTCGGGTTCTATTGACCCGAGTATATAATTATAGCTATCATCCGTTGGTCGAAAAATGTCAAAATAATGCAGTTTGACACTTCCGGGAAGGATATATCTATTTTTACATTCTATTTATATCCTTTCATTCACGATAAATTATACCTATTTTGCATTCTATTTATATATTTATATTCAAGGATATATCTATTTTTACATTCTATTTATATGCTTTCATTCAAGATAAATTATACTTATTTTACATTGTATTTATATATATATATATATATATATATATATATATATATATATTAATATATATATATATATATTCAAGGATAGATCTATTTTTACAAGTATTCACATCACTCTCTCGGATTTGAGTGTCTTTACTGTAAATTAACAATATCGATCAGTAACGTTCTTTCCGACGCGCGCCATATCAACGAGTTTGCCTGGGTAACATGAGTAGCCCGCAAAACTGCCAATAATAGAAACATACCTATAAATAGACATTATATACCAGAATCGACATTATGCTAGACTTCTCATTCTTTGCATTTTGCTAATGTTCAGTTCGTGTCCGAAACTTTTCAGAAGCGCACGCGTCATTCTAGGCAATTCTACGCCTTTTGTACCCCCGTGAAAAAGTTCCTGCACACACCAGGATTGCGTGCGTGAGCAAGACACAAACTGGATACTAAGTGCCATAGTGCTTGCGTGTGCTCAGTGGCGTAACTAGAACGATAATTGGGAGGGGGGGTGGGTGAATATTCATATACATTTCTTAATATAACTAATTTATTTTGGTAAAAAAAAAACGCTTTTGTTCAGGCCTGTGCAATTCCTCTTGCTGTCTTTATATAATGACTGGACTTTTAGCTGTTGAAAAGAATGTTTGCTTGCATGACGATCTCTACTACGAACATGTCTTGTCAAACCAAACAGTCGGTAGACGGAAAGAAATATATATTTCGCAAAGATTTATTCAAGTGCGCATGCAGGAGCGTTATTGGTATAGAGATCTATACATATAATTATATTGACCTTCTTTAATTTTCCTAATACTACTATCAAGTGTATACGTGAAATATATGTTATTATGAAGTCATGCAACGTCATGCATGGGTCTAATATAATTTAAGTAAATGGAAATGCTTGAGAAAAGGCAAGAATCCTATGTATAGAAATAAACACAAAATTATTTTCTTTTTACCTTTATCACCCATACCCATAACACTGTTTTACCTTCAAACTTGCACCTGACTGTGTTATGATATGTTTCAATACCAGTATACAGAGATGCATGCACAAGTCTTTGCAGGTGCACGTATCATTACCCTTTCCGACAACGTCTTTTCATTGACGAATATGGCTGCAGATGAAAAGAGCGGCCAATTTTTAGTAGCCAATATATTCGTTCACATTACACGTGTATTTCTAGATACCGAATAACAGTTCTTTTTAATTTAGAAGTCCTTTCTTTGAACACCTTCTCAGATTTGCTTAAAAAGTTTAAAAAAATCAATAACTTTGAATAGCTGATGAACTGAGACAAGTAAATTATAATAAGAAATGTTATTTTGGAAGTCAAGATACAAGCACCTGAACAAATATGATACTGAAATTCGCCGCTCTTTTAATCTCCCGCTGTCATACAATTAACATAATGGGGCATAGATATTACCATGCAGCTTTTCAATTTCTATGTACATAATGGTGCTTTAAAGTTCGCCATTATAAATTATATATATAGATATAAAATATTGCGTGTGCATATACAAAACTTTTAACGCAGAAAGAGGGTTATCTATATCGACATTATTTTTTAATTTAGGGACGAGACACTCCGGTATCCAAGAAAACATAAATAGACTTGCAGTTAATGTAAATATGAGGAAAATAAGCCAAATTAAGAAAGCTACTATTGAAAATGTATGATCAATGCCCTTCTAAGACGTTGTGAAATGTTGCGGAAATTCATGCTTATGTCTGAAAACTTCTACGTAAACACTTAAACGTATCTATATAAGTCACCGCCCTTGCATCAGATGTGGCAAAAATAATGCCGAATCACAACTCGAGAATGTTCTATAGACTATACTATATTTGGTTCCAACGAATGCAATTCAAACAATATTGATGATGAGATGATCGTAAAACTTATGGTTTATCACATGATTGTGATTTGCATTCGACGCGATATTATGACTTCGTTAAATGGATCTATAATAAGCGATGATAAACCAGCCCGATGATAAATGTAAAATAACCTTGATATCAAATCAGCTTGTATGTCGTGTAAATTCATCCGAGATGAATTTGAAATGAGAAGTATTTAGTATTGGCAATCAGTCCGTTGTCAACATGCATCTAAAACTCCCTAGCATGCGAACAGCATAATTCATATTCTCTTATATCTATAAATTAAAGGCATTTTTTTATTACGGGCAGATTTGAAGGTTGTACTCATTATTACTCAGGCATCGTTAATCTGGCGGCTATCGGAAGAACGCTACTGATCGATATTGTTAATTTACAGCCGAGACACTCGTATCCGACAGAGTGATGTGAATACTTGTATAAGAATAGACGTTTAAAGTAATCATAAAGAATGTAAAAACACTTATCGCAAGTGTGAAAGTGCATTATTTTTGACATTTTCAGTACAACGGATAGCATATATACACGCGTCAAAAGAACCCTGATGTATTACCGAACCGAAGTTTCTTTGAGAAGTTTTCAAATCATCTTTTGGTCTACAAACTGAGGTAAGCTTCTGTTTGTGTTTAAATAAATAGCTTTAAATTTGAGGTCTTAGGGATCTCAGGTATGCCATGTTACCTTTATATATATATATATCAGTAAAGTATCCAAGTTGAAAGAGCACGATATCAAAATTTAATAGAGCAATTTATAAAATAAAATCAATGAAATATTAAAAAATTTGGATATATATATATATATATATATATATATATATATATATATATATATATATATATATATATATATATATATATACATATATATTGCTCGCTACACTTCGTTCTAAAATAGAACCAAAGCAAAGGATATAAAAGCGAAGAAATACTTTATAACATTTGCATGCAACTGCTGCAAAAAATCCAATACACTCATTCGAATTGTTAAGAATTAATTAATTTCATCTATACTACATATATATATATATATATATAAAACGAGACGTTTGAGAAGTCCGCGACCATCATAAAAAGGCAAAGAGGGAGATTTAAATCCCTTTTTATTCTTGAATTATTAATTAAGCAGATTCCAATCAACCAAGTGAGAAAAAACCCCGGATTTTCAGGCAATATTGTGGTCGATTTATTCAAGAAACATATGTTTTTGCCAAATGTAGTATATTTCCTAACCGCGGTATCTTAAACAGAATAAAAATCTAACATACTTCAATTTCGAGGTTATATAATTATAATCAACGTAGCTAAATCCTGTCTCGATTTCGAAGGTTATGGTATGAAAGTCGCTTTTTGGTTGGTAAATGGCGATATTCATAACCTTGCAAGGGGGACACATTTTAGGTCACTCGCCTTCATCGTATAAATGTTTCAAAATGTGAGTTTCTAGTAAATCAAGCGAGCAAACGTTGTATGTAAGATGTTCCCGTTAAAACCTTACAGCCAGATTCCGAGAGCACTACAACCGGGCTTATATAATCCGCAGTTTTTCCGATACGGCTGCAGTAATCAATTATAGCCTACAATATAACAAAATCATCAAATTCATGTCGAATTTTTAATCTGTTCTCTTTGGTTTATGTTATTTATCTATATGCATGTCTTAATGTTAATCTCTACAGATATATTCTCTGCACAAATGGATTTCCGTCTGAATGTTTGTCTGTTGTTGATACTTTTCGTGGCATTTTCTGATGCTGATGACCGTAAATCTTCTCAAGGTAGGCCACTATTTTGTACTATAATTAAAAAAATAAAGCATGCAGTTGTCATAAAAATGCTGGTATTGGGAAAAAGGGCATTTGGTGGCCGTATGCATGAAACGTTCACAGTATAATTGTCGGGTTACTCGCCCACAAAAAAATTCTCAATTTCTCTCACGATCACTCACTTTATATCGCTCACATACTTTCTATATCTTCTCATATTTCAGTTCCATGTTCATTTGTGGGCGGTGTGTGTATTCCTCCACGCCTCGTGTGTCCTCCAGGATTCTATCCATGCCCTGAATATGTTTGTCCAGGATTTGAACTTTGCTGTTGGTATGTATTATGACCAATTTTTTAACCGAATGACAACTATTTTAAAAGAGAAATTAAACCTGACAATTTTCTCGTAACACGGAGAACGATATATACCGCAAAAAACAAAGTTAAAATGAACATATTTATTCGAATTCTGTGCGGGTTTTGGGGTTAAATGATCCTTGTTTGATTTCAATATTAGTTTAACGAAAATCTTTTTTTTAGCCCATTTTGAGGTAGAAAATGAAGCTGGAATAATCTAATTAAGCAGTTATGAAATGTAACTTGTCCGTTTACATTGATTAATAAAGTGGTTGATAAAAAAGTCCAGTCTATTATTTGAGCAAATAACCGAATTTTTTCAAAAGTTACTTGCATATAGCTACTGATTTATGATACTTGATTTTGAAATGCAATTAACGCAACCATTTGGAGGACATTTCATCAGGGTGCAGAAGCACATACCACGAGCTTTCATTGAAAGTCGTAAAACTTAGCATCATGCATACCTTCTGGAAATTTGACATAGTTGTTTCTCTTATTTTTAAACTTTGAAGAAATCTAGTTTCTTAAAACGAAGTATTATTATGTAAAATTTTCAATGTTCAACGAAATGAAAAAATTTTTTGTTTGAGTAATATGATACTAGAAATACTCAAATACATGCTCGTTGGATATTAGCCATTCTGTGCACCATATTATAGTGTGTTAGGACTTTTATGTTTATCATGCAAATGTTCTTCATCAAAAGAAATGCAAAAATGACTCACCTCTTCATTTTTGGAATCATATATATCAGATGTAACTTATCCCGTGAAAGGGACTCATATATGGTTTCTGTATCTCATACATTAGCATGCATGTATCTCCAACAATAAAATTAATAACTTTTACATGCACTGTTAATTCAGTCTGTCGTATAACACAAAAGCGTCTTTGAAGTGCGTTGATCATTCCAGAGTGGTATTTTCTTCTTAGAGATACATTCGAACATGCAGTTAAAGCCATTTATTATATATAAGTATATTTTTAATTATGCTTTCGTGTTCGATATCGGAGCGCCGATGAGTAACGCCCTCTCAAATTAAAATACTTCGTTATTTTAAGATTTTGTGTGTACAATCTTGCTAGAATGCCAATATATTCGTCCCTAACTTAGCAGTATATATACATAAACCGGCTGTTCGTACGATATTATTAATTGCTGGTACAACCCACTGAGCTATATCAAAATTAGCTGACTGGTACAACCGTCTAGAAACAATAGCTTATAAACGAAAACAGTCGGGCATAAGACGAATATACGAATATGCACCCCTGCCCCAATTAAAACGAAATATAAAACGAAATGTTTTTAACCTTAATACAACGATACTGTTTACAACTACTTATTCAGTGCATAATATTCAAATTGACTCATTGAAAAGAGATGTAAGAGTGTTATTATTTAGTTTTGACTTATCCACCGTTTAATGGCCCCAGATAGTAAGAAACTGAAAACTATTCAAATAAATAAACATCCAAACTATTAAAACACAAGCTGGAGCTTACCTCAGTTTGTAATCTGACAACAGTAAATATTATAAAAACTTTAGTTCGTCAATGACTTAGAGTTCAATTGACCCGAGTATATTTAGCTATCATCCGTTAGCCAAAAATGTCAAAAATAATGCAGTTTGACACTTCCGAGGAGGATATATCTGTTTTTACATTCTATTCAGAGCCGTAGCTAGAAGCTTAATTGGGGGGGTGAATATTTATATATTCGTCTTATGCCCGAATGATTTCTTTTGATTATATCTATTTTTACAAGTATTCACACCTTACTCTGTCGGATATATGTGTCTCGTCTGTATATTAACAATATCGATCAGTAACGTTCTTTCCGCGCGATGGCCGCCATATTAACCAATTTCCCTAAGTAATATGAGTAACCTGCAAACCTGCAAATAATAGAAAAATGCCTTAAGACACGTAATAGACTGAATAGTCAGTATAATGTCTATATATTCTGTGCTATAGATCTAAAAGTATATAAAGTACTGTCCAGAAATAACCTAACAAAAACCGCTGTTAACCTAGGTCAAACCTCCGTCTGATCGCGGTTGAACCGAGGTCATACCGACGTCAGTGGCGAAGAAAGCAACGATAATTGCGGGGGGGGGGGCATATTAATGCATATATTCATGCCATATTCATTCATATATTCACTCAAAATTAATTTTTAGGATAATTTTTTTGTCTTTCGAGAAGGCATTACTTTTGCCAAGTAATGCAAGGCGAGTGGCTCGGATACATCCAAAAGTTTATCTGGACGCTCTCGTACATTATAAGTTTTTTAATATAAGGATATTTATGTTGTCGTATTGGATTATCGTCTAGAAACAATAGCTTATAAACGAAAACAGTCAGGCATAAGACGAATATACGAATATGCACCCCTCCCCCAATTAAACTTCTAGCGACGGCTCTGTGGATGATACATAGTATTAAAGTATAAAAATTAATGCTCAGTTTTGCAAACTTTGCTGGAGGATCGTTGTGAAAAGATCATACAGACTGTTTCCATTCTACTCTTTTAAGCTCCAAAGTTCCCTCTAGACAAATTTGTTCGCTTTACTTCCAAATTATTGATCTGAGCTATAGTTTAAATCCAAGAAAATGTGAAAGCGTGCGACATTTCAGCTAGGATTATGCTCCAATTAGTATAGTTTACGTTGATTGGATTTTAAAATCGAAATAGCATGCAATATGTATATGACAGTAGCTGTCCAAAAAATTCGGTTATTCACTCAAACATACACTGTAATCTTTATCAACCCCTTTAATTAATCAATGTAAACTGAACAGGTTACATTTTATAACGGCTTGATTAGACTATTCCACTTTTATTTTCCACGTTAATATTGGCTGAAAAAAAAGTTTAATAATTGCGTTAAATATTATATAAAGAGCTTATAAAACATAGCTCTGACGTTTTTGCTGTTAATTAATTAAGAAATTAGTCCTTGATCAGGAAATCAAGGAAGAATCACTTTCTCCCATCATTTTTACTCTTTTCTTTGTGATATCGTTTTCCGTGTTACCATGAAATTGTCAGGTTTAATTTTTCTCTTGAAATAGTTGTCACCTAGTGTAAAAATTGGTAATCAACATAGCACAAAGAACGATACTTAACAACAGCAAGTTTGCCAAGGATGCGAACAAAAATACTCAGGACATTCATAGTAGTTGTCATGACACTCAATTTCTAAACAAATGCCATCCACGGGGCAATCTTCTGAAAGATGAAAACATAGAAATTGTTTGAGAGTTAGAGAGTAAGAGATCATGTGCGATCGAAAATTTTTTGTATGGACGGGAAACCTGAAAAGTTCTGCCTGACGGATTTCCATTGTGAGCGCTATTGCACTTACAAAAGAAATCCGCCGGGCAGAACTGAATATATGAATAAATCCCCCCCCCCTCTATTATTGTTCTAGTTACGGCCCAGACAATAAGTCTAAAGTTTACCTCAGTTTGTAGTCTGACAGCAGGAAAGATTTCAAAAACTCCGCAGAGAAACTTCAGTTCTTCAATTGACTTCGGGTTCTATTGACCCGAGTATATAATTATAGCTATCATCCGTTGGTCGAAAAATGTCAAAATAATGCAGTTTGACACTTCCGAGAAGGATATATCTATTTTTACATTCTATTTATATATATATATATATATATATATATATATATATATATATATATATATATATATATATTCAAGGATAGATCTATTTTTACAAGTATTCACATCACTCTGTCGGATTTGAGTGTCTTTACTGTAAATTAACAATATCGATCAGTAACGTTCTTTCCGACGCGCGCCATATCAACGAGTTTGCCTGAGTAACAGGAGTAGCCCGCAAAAATGCCAATAATAGAAACATACCTATAAATAGACATTATATACCAGAATCGACATTATACTAGACTTCTCATTCTTTGCATTTTGCTAATGTTCAGTTCGTGTCCGAAACTTTTCAGAAGCGCACGCGTCATTCTAGGCAATTCTACGCCTTTTGTACCCCCGTGAAAAAGTTCCTGCACACACCAGGATTGCGTGCGTGAGCAAGACACAAACTGGATACTAAGTGCCATAGTGCTTGCGTGTGCTCAGTGGCGTAACTAGAACGATAATTGGGAGGAGGGGGTGGGTGAATATTCATATACATTTCTTAAATAATAACTAATTTATTTTGGTAAAAATAAAAACGCTTTTGTTCAGGCCTTTGCAATTCCTCTTGCTGTCTTTATATAATGTCTGGACTTTTAGCTGTTGAAAAGAATGTTTGCTTGCATGACGATCTCTACTACGAACATGTCTTGTCAAACCAAATAGTCGGTTGACGGAAAAAATAATATATTTCGCAAAAATTTATTCAAGTGCGCATGCAGGAGCGTTATTGGTATAGAGATCTATACGTATAATTATATTCACCTTCTTTAATTTTCCTAATACTACTATCAAGTGTATTCGTGAAATATATGTTATTATGAAGTCATGCAACGTCATGCATGGGTGTAATATAATTTAAGTAAATGGAAATGCTTGAGAAAAGGCAAGAATCCTATGTATAGAGATAAACACAAAATTATTTTCTTTTTACCTTTATCACCCATACCGTTAACACTGTTTCATCTTAAAACTTTCACCTGAATGTGTTATGATATGTTTCAATACCAGTGTACAGAGATGCATGCACAAGTCTTTGCAGGTGCACGTATCATTAACCTTTCCGACAACGTCTTTTCATGGACAAATATTGCTGCAGATGAAAAGAGCAGCCAATTTTTAGTAGCCAATATATTCGTTCTCATTACACGTGTATTTCTAAATACCGAATAACAGTTCTTTTTAATTTAGAAATCCTTTCTTTGAACACCTTCTCAGATTTGGTTAAAAAGCTTAAAAAAATCAATAATTTTGAATAGCTGATGAACTCAGACACGTAAATTATAATAAGAAATGTTATTTTGGAAGTCAAGATACTCGTCTGTAATACAAACATCTGAACAAATATGATACTGAAATTCGCGGCTCTTTTAATCTCCCGCTGTCAATGAGTGCACACAAAATGATGGGGCATAGATATTACCATGCAGCTTTTCAATTTCCATGTACATCCTGGTGCTTTAAAGTTCGCCATTATAAATTATATATATAGATACGAAATATTGCATGTGCATATACAAAATTTTTAACGCAGAAAGAGGGTTATCTATATCGACATTATTTTTTAATTTAGGGACGAGACAATATGATATCCAAGAAAACA